TGTGTAGCATCTCTCTGCTTTGTTATTTCAAAATTTATTATTATTTATTATAAATAAAACAAATTGAAGTTTACGATTCAAATTAATTTCTTTGAAGTATGCTAATGAAAAGTTAGTTTTTTATCCTATGACGCCATCCCAGAAGGCCTGGTCTAACTTCAAGGTCAAAGATGATCAGTCTTGACCAAATATGTTGGCCTATGGTCGGAATTAACCCTGTCACTGGATTGGATCTGGATCAGATCTTGATTAATTTGAATCCAATTAAAAAAAATATTATTTGAATTTAATTCGTGTATCCGACAAATTTTAAAATTCTTGTCTATATTTGAATCCACTAAGATCGGGGAATCTGATCTGATCCAATTAATTGAACAGCAAAATTTCATCGATGACTCAAAAAATATCACTAAATTTTAGCAAAATTTGAACTTAATTTCATCAATCAAACGCTCAACTCCAATAATATCGGTTTAGTTTCATCATAACTTCACTAATATTTCAACGAATTAGAAGAAAAAAAAAAAGTTAACAAAAATACATATTAAATTACAAGAGAAAAATGCCGTTGTGTTTGATAGATGGTGATAATTATTTACAACTACTATCACTCGTCGTTGTCGCCAATACCATCACTACCACCAAATTACCAGAGACAGGCCCCGTTGTGTTTGGTAGATGGTGATAATTATTTCCATCTACCAGCACTCGTCCCTGCCACCACTACCATTACTACCACCAAATTACCAGAGAAAAGATCCATCGTGTTTGGTAGATGGTAATGAAGCACATCCAACTACTATCATTCGTCGTTGCCACCACTATCGCCACCACTACCACCGCCACACCCACCCCACGTGCACTTGGGGTTGGGTCGGGTCTATTTTGGGGTTTGAGTTCGAGTTCAAGGTTGGGGTCCAATCCAACGTCAAGCTCGGGTCTATTTTTAGGTTGATAAATGATTATTCGGAAGTTATATTTGTGAATTTTATTTATATTTAATGTTTTATTTTTCTGTTATTTGTTGAATGATTAAATGCATTTAACAAAAGTAAAATGCTTTGCATAATCATAGATCACCTATAGACAAGTTAAGTCTTGACATAAGTGATTTCATTGATTCCCAACAAGTACCCAAGGTATGGTTTTTATAACAATCTTTCAATCTTTATTTACATTATACTCTAACTAATGATGGGATAACTTAACAGTTGCTGGATGATTTGTAGAACTGCTTGCTTGTTTATAGACGGGTTAAGTCTTGGCATGAACAATCCTTGCAAGTCTCTACAAAGACATCAGAGTCATACTTTTAATTCACACATTCCATCTTTATCCTTCAATTAACCTGCTATTGACTTGGGGATTAATTGAGAAATCTACAAGGCACATATATAACGACCGGATAAATAAGTACATGTCCGAATTCTCAAGCTAAATGGTGACTTTTATTTCTATTTAAGAGAATCTTATATTTTGTTTAGAAAACTCTACCATCATCACAATTTCAAATCTCAAGCGTTCCAGTTACTTTGGTCTCTATCACTTTTGACTTTGAAATACCAACATTAGTTCTCTGTAGATTCGACTCCGAATTTAATCAGATTATAACTACAACTTATCTATCTGCACTTGGGCGTACACATTTCGCATCAAGTCAACCACCACCACCACAATCCTGCCAGCACCATTCCATCACACCACCACCACCACACTTCCACCACCACCACCACTATCACATGCACCACACCACAACGACCACACTTTCACATTTTCTTTTTCATTATTTTTTGGGTTATTGTTTACTATTATTCAATTTTTATATTTATTAGTACTACTATTATCATTCCAACACTGTCACCACCACCACCACCCATCACCACTAACCACCACCCCCATCCACTAACACCCATCACCCTCCACCATCATCGTCGCCTACCACCACTATCACCCTCAACCAAAATAGTGAAAACTTGCCCAACACCACCCACCATCACCACCAATCAATATCACCCATCACCCCAAAACAGTGAAAAACTGGCCTACCACCACCACTACCCACCATCGTTGCCAAACAGTACTACTCAAAACTCACCACCACCCACCATTACCACCAACCACTATCACCTACAACTCAAAACATTAAAAAATTAACCCACCACCCAAAATATTAAAAATTAAACACACCACCTAAAAGAGTAAAACATTAACCATTACCATAATCCATCAGTAGCACCAACTTCACCACCACACACCATCCCCACCATCAACACCCACCACTCTAAAATAGTAAAAAAATTAGCCTACCACCTACCACTATCAATCACCACCCAAAACACCACCACCAAACATTGTCACCAACCACCACCCACTATCATCACCACCATCACCCATCATCGACGTCAACCACCACACAAAATAGTAAAAAAACTAATCTACTGCTCAAAATAGTAAAAAACTAACCTACCACCACCACCACCAACACACATCACCACCACCCACACTACCACTAAAAATAGTAAAAGACCAACCTATAACCCACCACCCATTACTATGGGTGTTCAAATTTTCGATTGGCAGTAATTTCCTACTTTACCCTACCCTACTGAACAGTTAGCCACAAAAATCGGGTAAGAATGTAAAAGAATTTTTTGTCTTCTGATTAAATGGGGTAGGAATGCGGAATACTTATCAATTTCAGCATTTTTACCTTACCCTACCCTACCCGCATAAAATATATTTAATTTTTTTATATTTTTTTAATAATTATAAGAGTATTTGTGTGGTATAATTTATATTATATCATTGTTATTGTAGTAGATGTTTGACTTGCTAAAACATGGACTTATTTTTTGTGTAAGTTACATGATTTGTGGTGAACTGTTGATCTATTAGAACAGTTATAATTTTAACATTTGGTTTAAATTTAAAATAATTGTTATTGTATTTGTGTAACAATTATTATGGACTGATGTTCATGCTTTCTTGTTTTTTATTATAAGTGTTGTTATGGTTGTTTTAGGTTTTAGTGTTATTGATTTATTGTGTTGTTAAATTTGTGCATGTTATTTAATTGAATTATTAAAATGATTCAAAAATTAATAGCTACAAAAGTGTTTATCTGACTCCCTACCCGATTAATCGGGTAAGAAGTTGGGGAGGAATACCACACCTGATTGGATAAAGTAGGCCAAAAATTTTTTTTTTCGCAAAGTATCGGGTAGAAAGACAAAAAACTATATTTCCTACTCGTAGGATGAACACCCCTACCCATTACCACCCAAAATAGTGAAAAACTAGTCTCCCACCACCACCTAAAATAATGAAAAATTAGTGAACATCAAAATAGTGAAAAATTATTGAACTTAAAGACTGAAAAATTATAGATTTCAAAAATAAAAAGTAATAAAAAGTAGTAAACTTAAAAAACAGTGAAAAATTAATAAACTAAAAAACAGTTGACCACAACATACTACCTCAAATTCAATCGGCACAAACAATAGTGAAACAGTGAAATTTATCTAATTTTAATATTTAGGACAGTAAAAATTAAATTTATTTATTTGTTTTGATCATTGAAATTGGGACATAACTTACCTAATTTACTTGGCGTTAAAATATGCAAAATTTTAAATAGTGAATTTCATCTAATATTAATGTTTCAGACCGTAAAAATTTTATTTTACTATTTGTCATTGAAATTGGGACTTAATTTTACTTAATTCATTTGGTGTTGAAATATGAAAAATATTAAACAGTAATTGTCATCTAATTTTAATGTCTTAGATGATAAAAAAAAAAAAATAGTGACTCAAAAACAGTGAAAATTAGTGAACTAGAAACAATGAACCTAAACCAGTGAAAATTAGTGAATTAGAAACAGTGAACTGAAAAACAATAAAAAAACAATGAACAGAAAAATAATGATGAGACTAATGAGAATTGATCATAACTTAAAATTAAAATTAATTGAATAAGAGATTTAGTTGGAAATAATAATAGACAATGCTTAACTAATAAAATTTATTAGATTTTAATAATTTAGTTATGATGTTTCATTTGAATTGAAAAATATATATCAAAAATAGGTAATTCAAAACTAGTAAAAACAAAGAACCCAAAACATTCAAAATTAGTGAACTAAAATAGTAAACTAAAAAATAGTGAACTAACAATAATAAATTAAAAAGTAGTGAAAAATATTGAACTCAAAAATAGTGAATACAAAAAGGGTAATGAAACTAATAAGGGACAACACAATTGTGAAATAGTACCTAGTTGATTGAGCACTTTATGTGCAGTGTGTTTGTGTTAAGGGAGAGGCACACCATAACTGTGGGGTATGAGATGTAGACAAGCTCTGGATTAGTAAATCTGTAGAGTGAATGAAAATATGTGTATTTCGGAAGTGGAATATAATTATTACAGTGACAATCAAATACTATGGTTACGGTATAAGTTCGCAAACCAATTACAATAGCCAATGAACAATAACGATTTGTCTCTTTGTCTACTCTTTTCTATTTTAATAATATAGTAGTGTACCAGTACCAACCGGTTTCAGTCTTTAGGCTTCCATTGTTAAGGTTTCATTTGGACGATGCAAAGTAACAGTCTGAACAAGCAGAAAACTGACCCTTCTTGCTCTCTCTTTCTCTCAGATTTACACCGGCCTTTTGTCATTTTGGCTAAATTCGTATTAGACCAACATTCTGAGCATAAGCCTAGACGTTGGTCAAGATTGTTCACGTTTAATCTTGGGGTTGACCAAACCTCTTTGGATAAATTTATAATTTTCGACAATAACTATTTAGTATCATACCCCAAAAAGAAAACATTTCAAACTGTAAACCTTAAAGTCATCCCTTATCGTTATTGATGATCAAAATAATAATATATTAAAATATAAAAAAATTCATGTGTCATTTAATTATTTAAAAATAAAAAAAATATACCATGTTATAATTCGACTTCTCCTGGCTTAGGACTCGTTGATACGTCTATTCCTCCCACTCATTGTATAGCTAGAATAAGAAACCATGCCATGCTTGTACTCAAAATATGGGTTGCTAAAATAGCAATCCATATATAGAGTACAAGCAGGGCACTTGCTCCGGAAATGGATGAGACCCTAGGATACTTTTCTTGTTTGTTGACACATAGAAGAAACAACCTTTCAAGTTTCAAGGGGTCATCATGGCAAAAACTGAATGCATGCAAACTTATCCTCTATGCAAGCACGATATGGTAAAGGTTGCACAGTTTTTGGTTCACCCTATATATATTCATATTCTTCTTGTTCCCTAGAAAAAAAAATTATAATTAGATGAGGTTTTAAAATTTTAAGATTGATTTTTTTAAAAATAGACATCTTCAAAGTTATTGATTGATCATATATATATATATATATATATATATAAAACAGAGCATGGCTTCAACAAGTCGATCGGACGGTCTTCATTCATCCAAAGCTTCAGCATTCAAAGGTTCACAATATATCTCATTCAACTTAACTCAACCCAACCCAACCCAACCATCACATCCAATCCAATCTAACCCAACCCACCTCTCACATACAACCCAACGGCTCCCTGCAAAAAAACAGAGCAACCTCTCTTCTCTCTCACTTCTCTCAGGCGGTCACTTCCCTCAATTCCCGGTCAAGCAACCGCGCCATGGCAACACACAGGCGGCAAGTCAGGTGTCACTTCCACCCTCTGCGCAAACACCCCCCCACCATCCCTCTTCTGCGCAAACACCTCCTCTCCCTATCTCGCATCAGATCGCTGTCCAAAGCCACAGATTCCACAGGTCTCTCTGCTCAATCTCCGGTTCACGCAAGTATTTGATTCATTATCATCGTCATTTTTATAGATCATTTCATACCCATGATCCTGATCCAATCTTTCTTCATTTGATGTTGATGATTTTGATTTGGGTTTTTTGTATTGTAGCTTTCACATTCAGATTTCTTGGTTCTCTTGCTTCTCGCCTCTCTCTACCGCCGCCTCCTCTTTGAGTCTCAGAGACTCTCACCGTCTCATCTTCGAAGCCACCAGCCAGCCACAAGCATCCAGTTTCTCTCTCTCTCTGTATGACAAGTCTCTAATTGAGTATTAATTCCTTTTATTTTTTTGAAATTGAAATCATATGATGAGAGTTTCATGAGTGTTTTTGTTAAGATAAATTATAATGGATTTTAATCTTAAAGCCCATGCTTTTTATTTTTATTTTTTTTGACTCTGCTACTGAGCCGACCATGCTTCTTTCTCCGTGCATCTCCAATATTTGATTGATGAAGAACATAATAAATTATTCATTTGTCTCTTTGTGTTCAATTGGGTTGGTTCAATTTGATAGCAGAAAGAGGGTTAATTGGCTAATAAATACATGGGTCTGTGCGTGTATGTTTGAGTTTGTTTGTTTTGATAGAAAGTATTCCTTGGAACAAGCATGTCTGTAAAAAAAAAATTTGATTGATGTTTGAGTCTATCAGATTATTATATATAACGGTATTGGGTGATACCCTTGATGCAGAACTCATGTCTGTAAAAAATTTCATTGCTTCGTCAAGATTGCCCACCAAGCAATATGCATGAATCAGTGTTCCATAAGTAACAACGGTGGGCACAAGACCTTCTTTAACCATCCGCCTCATCAGTGTATGGGCCGTCCTAAAATCTCCAGTTTCACTGAAATATGAAATCAAAGTGTTGTATGTAACACTATCAGGCTTCACTCCAGCTTCCTCTAAATCCTTAAGCATCTCATAAGCTTTCTCCAATCTATTCTTCCTGTCGAACCCGACTTTCTTCATCATTGATGCCACAGAGCTAGCATCATCCACCCTTCCAGCCTGGCTTAGACTAGAGATCAAGCAGTAGTACACAATTGCATCTGGAGAACACCCGGTTTTTAACATTTCATCAAATAATGCCATAGCCTTATCAATATTGTTGGCATTGCAGAAAGCACTAATCAAGATAGTGTAAGTAATTGCATTAGTTTTCAAACCCTTTTGCTGCATTTCATTAAGGAAATCCATTGCACTATTGATTTTCCCATGCTTACACATGCCATCAACCAAAGTATTAAGTGTAATCACATTTGGTATCACCCCCTCTTTGTACATCTAATCCAAAAGCTCATGGGCCCTCTCAATTTCACCAGTCTTGCAAAAACCATCAATCAAGCAATTGTAGGTAACAATATTAGGTGCACTTTCATGTCGTGATTTCATCAGTTCCAGTAAACCCAAGCCTTCTTCTTATCGTGGTGTAGTGGTTGGATATTGTTTGAATTTCGAGTTGGTTTTTCTCCAATTTCAGTTCCAAAGCCCCAATTTTATGCTTCCAAACACGCAGCCTTATAGATATCAAAATTTTGTTTTATATACTCAATGGTATGAACGTCTTATGTAGAGCTGCAATCACAATCATTGTGTTTTTATTTGTTTGTTTTGTGAGTTTGTTTGTTTTGTGGGTCTGTTTGAAGGATGGACTGGATGCAGTGAGAAGTAACGTGCAAGCTCTAACTGCAAAGGTAGGGAAACTTGCAACCTTAAGCCATTGATTGGCAAATTGTTTTCTTACTGCTAAAGTAGCAAATTAGGAGCTTTTAAACAAAAAAAGAAAAAAAAAGGGGGGGGGGGAAGAAAGATAGAAGTGGGGGGAAGAAAAGCAGGTTCATTATTTCTTTGATGTGCTTTTGGAATGTTCTATAAGGAAGCATGAGAAAATCAGAAAAAGTAAAAGCTTTAAGGCATTAGTTATTGCCTTAAAGCATTAGTTTAACTCACTTTTTTTTTTCCGAGTCATTGTACAGGCATTGCGTTCTATTCAATTTTTGGGGTTTTGTTCTTAAAATGGGTTTGGTTCTTTGATCAGGTTTATTAGGCCAGCGTTCACTACGAAAGGGCCAAAGTTCACATCTTCTAGCGGTAAGAATACTCATTTCAACTCTCCAATTTTGACTGAATTTTTTCTCTTTTTATTTCACACACTAAATTTATTTCACTTTCAGGCAGTTTCCAACGAGTTCCTCCAGTGGTTGTTCCGGCTCTTCTCAGTCATCAGTGCACGGTAAGTTTATTTCTAATATTCTGAAATTGCCTTTTGTAAAGAGTCTTTCACAACCAGGCTTTTGTAAAGGGTGATATAGCTGCCAGTAAAGCCTTGGGACACTCCTCGTGTGGAAGATGACCACAACCAGATATTGCAACCAGTCTCTGCACAGCAACAAATCATTGCACAATTAGATGAAAGTTCAGTTTCATTTTTTCACTTAGTAAAATAACAATTTCTCTGAAAAATACTAAAACCTCTTGTATTTTCACCTACTTTTTTTGGTATACATGTGACTGGCTGGCCATAAATGACAGGCAGCAGACCATTAATGACACCAAATATTCTATAGTCTATAACCAAAGTAATGAGCTCACCTGCCAGAGGCTTTTTTAGACATCTCCGACAACTATCACAAGCACCACTGGTCCACTATTGACAATTACCCATCTTAACAAGCTACATGGAAACTCACTTAAAACTCAGCCAGGCATTTTTTTTTTTTTAGGGTTGTAAAATAAACTAAGCCACTTAAAACTCAGCTCATGACTTGCTCACTCAAAGGCTCATTCAAGTTCTCTTTTTGCTGGTAAGGCTCACTCAAGTTCAACACAAACAAGCCAAGCTTGACCGCATTTTAAGGCTTGTTGAATTATAAAACTTCGTTTGACCTTTGCTTGAAAAGCTCATAAGCATCATATGCCATATGAAAGACCAAGCTACTTTGTGATCAGCTCTTTTAGAGTTGGCTTGATCAAACCAAGTTTAATTTTTCTTTTGAAGCATGTTAAAATTTCCAAACCAGGTTTGAGTATCCCAATTACTCAGCATGGCTAAATATGATTTAAAACACTTCAAGTATTTCAAAATGTGAAATATACAATAGACACTAATAGAGAGCTACTTACAGAATTTACAAGTTTTGAAGCCACAGTTCGAACAGTTTTTAGAGGAACAAGGGCATCGTCGGCACCAGCAATAACCAGAACTGGTAAGTCTTCAACTGCTTTTAGTAATGACTCTGCATTTTGTGGTGAGAGGACTGTCTCAAATGATAGTTTTCCTATCTCACGGAGGGTTTCATCCCAACCTTCTATACATAATGGGGCCTGATTTCATAGCAGAGATGTGGAATAGGTCAAATGGTCAGCATGTTTATAATGAATAACTGTGATCTAGATGTTGGAGGTAAAAAAATTATGGAAGATCACTATGCAAAATCAAGCAAACATGAGTAACCATGTGAGTTAAGTTGCATTTCATTTTATACTCCGTAATTTTAGCCTAAGTACTGAGCATACATCCAAATATTTGAAGTTATTGCTTTACATTGAGAGAAAAAAGAAAACCTCTTGAGCAAGCACAGGTTTGGTCAATGAGAAATAAAATGGTGTCCACCAAGATCTAAAAAGGAAAAACTCACACACCCAAATGGTTCATTTAACAACTGTATGTTTCCATCATCAATAGCTGGAACACTTGCTACTTTAAGCAGTAGCTGAGCCACTAAATTAGCTAGACCAAGCATGAATGCCCATCTTACTTTTAGTGACTGAAATCTTACTCTTGAGTATTTTGTGCAGTTGGTGACATGTTGTGTTAATATGTGATGTTGTAGAAAAAAAAAATAGGATTTGGTATTATGGGTTTGGGCACTTTGAGGAATAAAGTGGTATTTTTTTTATGTCATCATTGTGTTTCTTTTGGTTATTACATACTTGGGTTATCAATATTTCGTGGTTGTAGTATCAAATGTGTGTTACTTCTTTCAGGGTTATCGTAGTTTGTTTATAAAAATTATGTATACAAGTGAAATAATTAATACAAGGTAGGTATTAGCAAATTGATAGTTTTTTACATTATCTTTCATCAAATTGATATGATTATGTACTATTTAACTAAATTTGAAATTATTTTGAAAGCGCAAAAAAAAAATTATTTTGATTAAATATTAGTGAATTGTTTGTTCAACATAACCTAGTTTCTTCAGACACAAATATTTGTTCGTTTTTTTTTTGTTTCCTTGCTGTGTTTGCCTGATTTTTTTTAAATTGTACAGTGCCTTCAGGCACGGGTTATAGGAATTTTCATTGCTTAGTTGCTGAAAATGCAATTCTGGAATTCAGTATGAGGTGTTCATCGGTGATGGCTTGTGATCTTAAGAAAAGGGTGCTTTTCACCTAGATACTTTCTCTTGGAAACCCATAAGAGAAACAAATTGGTGAGCCACAAAATATAATCACACAGCATCACTGTTCATGTAGGAATGAATCTGGACTCTAGAGATGTGTTAGGAGTGGGAGTGGAATGGCGTTACATATACTAAGAGATAGCATGTTTCACTATTTCCTGCTTTTCCTTTTTAGCAATTTAGCTTATTTATGTGTTCCACCTCAACGCAAAGAGGCTCACACTCAACATAGATCTACACGCACTGAGGCGCTCCTCTCTCTCTCTCTCTCTCTCTCTCTCACGCACTAAGGTTTTAGTTATCTCACACTCAACAACGTCTCTTTTTATTTCACGCACTGAATTTATTTCACTTTCAGGCTGTTCTCCTCCAGCGACTGTTCCGACTGTTTTCTCAGTCCTCGGTGCAAGGTAAGTTTATTTTTAATATTTGAGATTGCCTTTTTTGAACTGTAAGTTTCTAAGTTTCTGACCCGTACTTCTTATGAAGACTTTATATTTCATGTAAAACTACTCAGTATATTACTGGGTTGACCTCAATTTTGTTCAAGGTTACATGTTACTATTTTTTTCCGTGAGCATTTTAATGTTTTTTCTCCTATGCATTATCAACTTTCAATATTGGTTCGACCTCTAATTTTTTTCAGTTTTCTATGTTACTACTTTTGTGAAATTTAGATCACTCATCAAACCAAACTCTGCGAAATTTAGACCTCTAATTTGTACTTATCAAACCAAACTCTGCGAAGCATTATAGAGTTGAATAATGCTTATTTGTTAAGGTTGGAGCTTATGCTAATGCTAATGCTGTGAATGTGTGGTCTTTATGAACTATGTTTTTTTTTCATTTCAATACAACTTGCATTATGTAGTAGTAGACAATTGATGATGATATCCTTTACCAGAGTGCTCCGTGTATTGTTCAGAAAGTTCTGAGGATACTCAATTGATTTGATTGCCAAGAATAATATTTTGGTTGTTTTATGTTTTTATAAGTTTCTAAGTTTCTGAATTGCCTTTTCTTGGTCCTTTAATTGGGTGGTGGTGGTGAGCATTTGAGTGGAAAAACCCAATTCAAGCATTTTTCTAATGTTTCCCATTCTCCACTTTAAACGTGGCTGCTTCCACAGTATGGCTTTGGCATAATGGCTTCCACAGTATGAAAACTCCAACTGAGTTGGTATTTTTTGTCTCCAGCCAAAGGTATGTTGATTTCGGTTTTGCAATTTGTAAAGTATTTGGGAACTAAGGATGGTATTTTGTTGTTTATCTTTGGTGGGTAGCTGAAAGCTTGGATCTTTTGCATTGAATAGTCCTGAATCTTTAGTTCATGTCTTATATTTTATTTTTTGTTTTTTTGTGGCCACTGTTCTATTGTTGATGCATTATGAAGTTTGCCACTTTTTGCTTTGGTGAGCCTCTTTGATTGGAGCTTGCAGTCCCATTGCCTTAGATGTGTGCACTATATTTCAGATGTTTTTTTTCTAGCTATTGTTCAATTAGCTTTACTTATTTTGAAATGTTATGCGGTACCTAGGTTCCATTGTTGTGAATGTTTGTTTTTGTTTTGTACGTGTGTGTATGTTATCAAAAATTTAATTTTTCATTTTATTGGTTCTATTATATTGGTTACTTCAATATTATATTGGTTACTTCAGTATTGGTTACTTCAAATAGGTTTTTATAGGGTTTTGATTATTTATAGAGATTGTATGTCAATTAGTATGAAATAGAGGTTTATTGTGTGTTAATTGATAGAGATTGTATGTCAAGTAGTATGAATATGTGTATT